GTGTTATTGCCTTTTTGTCTCTCTGATGTGTTTGTGTTTCAGTACGATTATGGTCTAGCTTTTTGTTACGTTACACACTTGGCAAAACATTTTGATGGCAGGCTCTCTATAAATGCATTTCATCACTATTATTATTATTACATGCAACAGTTGCATGCAAATGCATGGGAAGTAAGAAAAAAAAGAGGCAGAGGATACAAAATACTCAACGCATCATGGAAAATTCCCCAACAACTTGAACTAAGGGATTGTTCGGGGTCACGTGATCAAGCTTAACTACCATCTTTGTCAAAAAGGAAAGTTTGAAACTCGAGGAACCACAGCATTCACTCTGAAGGTGAAGTGCTTAGTTGTGATGATATGGCACCATGAGGTGCTCAAGATATGATGGGCCTGATCATTTAGGACTTTCTTTGCACGAGAAAGGATTTTAAATTCAACATAACAGAGCGGCAGATCAGCGCTGCTAGGAGAGGTACAGCCTGGTCAGGTCACCAGTCTATTACAAGGCTAACACAGTAGGACGAAGACAACCATTTTTTTCACACATATTGCCACAGCATGCGTGTCTTTGGACTGTGAGAGGAAGCCAGAGTACTCACCATGAGCCCATGCAGGCGCAGGGAGAAGACGTGAACTCCACACAGAAAGGCCTGGTGGTGAATTCAAATCCAAGATAATCATGCCTTGATGTTATAAACACTGTACCAACGTGTTCCCTAGTCTTTAGTGTACCTTACCTCTCTCACCATGATAACTGGATTTCTCCAGTCCCGTATGACCCTGAATAAGCGGTAAGTGGAAGCTAATTGCCAAAAGCCTTGTTTCTTGTATTTAGCAGAAAGCTAACTTCCTCTTGTTTTGGCCTTATGGAATCCACTTCATGCATTACCAGAGTGTTCTGGATCTCTGGTATTGCATAAAGGTAATGGATAAAGTGTAATTCCCCTTTAAGATACAGCTTCATTACCTGTTCCTCTATTCGTGCCCCTGCATAACCACATCTGTGCAGATTCAGCACTGTTACTGTCTTCTCTGCCCTGCTGAGCTGAAGCATAATAATTGGCTTTTTTGTCCATATTGAGAGTTAATGTTTCTACTTCCTGCTAACATGGGAGCACCTTATCATTTCAGCACAGATAAAACAACAATTATTTTGTTAACATTCAACAAGTACAGCTTCTGGGAGTCTTAGTAACAGACCCACCATCAACATATCAAGGGAAGTTTGTTGAATGCTAACAAAAGAAATAGTAGCCTGAAAGTAGGGCGGATCTTGGACTCTCTGTGCCAATACACACATACAGTACGTGTGCTTTTGCACATACACATGCACTCACACACTCACAAACACCAAGCAAGCAGAGATTCTCACCCCCACTCTCAATCCTTCTGCAAAACTACCCTCCTTCGCTCATTGTGCCAGATCTATTAAAGCCCAAACAAAAGACACTTGTTTTGATTCGTGTTTTTGCAAAAGACCAGCCTCGAACTACCATCAGATGTCCCGAAGGATCCGAGGATCCACGGGCGACACTGAACCAAGCTGTCAAAAACATTTATGACAAACTCTCTTCCAAAACAAGGCATAAATAAAAAATAGATAGAATATGTCACAAAAACTGAACAAAGCTGTGAGGCTGTAGCTAAAGGAGCAGGAGTGTGATTAAATACAGCATTGGACTGGTGTTCAGCTAACTGGCACATGGGCACAAGTATAAGGTTACGTGGCCAAAGCCAGTCAGGAGTGGTCTCATATGATACACTTTTGGCCTGGACTTCAAAGAAGTCTCTTTTTACACCCAAGTCTTGAATCATTTTGATGGCAAATCACTGGTGACTGTTCTTGGGGACATTTCCCAGTGTTTGCAATTTCTACTTGATGTCACATGTACTTCAAAAATAAAA